ATAATCTTTGAATTTTGAACACAAGAGATGTCTGATGATGATGGGATCCCAGAGTGCGGGTACTGCTACGATGACTGGGGTTTGTGCGACGGGTTTCCTCACCTGCAAAATGATTGGTTTTTCACCACAAAGTTGGAAGAAACCTTTGATGTTTGTACGGTACGCAATGACAAGCATTTCATAGTAATTAATATCATCACTTGTGCTTCTTTTGTTCAAGGTGTAATTTCTGGAAAAAAAATTCAATTCGATTAGTACATCCCATGCCATGCTAGACCATATGTATTGGAGAAGTTTGGTTTAGGTTTAGATGACTTTGAGAATGTGGAGAGGAGGAGGGCTCACTTAAGAACTAAACATGGTTATGAGTTTTTGATTAAGCTGTACAATGCGGTCAATCGCTCCCATTTCGGTTGCTCTAATTGGGAAGCTCACCGCAAGGCATATGGATTTGAGGAGGGAATGCAAATAAGATTTGATATTCATCCTGAAGATTATGACGATGATAATATCTACATCTAGGTGGATGTGGATATGCCTCAAGTTTTGCCTAGATGTGAGTTTGTCAAACTAATTTGTTAAGTTCAGTAATTTATATTGTTAATTTAAAAATATTTGGTGTTCGTCGGTACTAAACTTATTTATTTATAATTGTCAGCTTATTTCTTATCTTCAAGAAATACTCGGAAGGTTGTAGACATCACATATTACAGCTATGACTTCAAACTTAATTGCGAGGAGAAAGGTTATCTTGTCTCATTCATAGAAGATCTTGAGGCCTTTAAAACCAATCACTCTATCAACCCAAATTATACTAGATACGTGCCACTAGTCCATAAATTGCTTGGTGGCAACTTCATTGCCAAAAACTTGGTAAGATTTTGTTAATTATGGTAACTTCATTGCATACATTATTCTTAAGTAAACTACATCGCTAACTATATATGTTACTATTACATTTTTTAACAGAGGCTCCCGAAGGAGGTTGTGCCTGACATGCTATTTACCGAAGGTGATATGCATATGGTTAGCTTACGACCAACTCCTTCGAAGGCTTACCATACTGCATACTCGATTTCTTCAAATGATGGAAGGCTCAAAATCAAAGAATGGAGCAAAGTGATGAATGCGCACACGCAACTAATTGGACACAAAATGAATGTGCGCAAGCCACAGGTTGGAGATAGGTTTATGTCCATTCGGTTTATCTGTTTTGTGGTATTTTACCTAGGAGAGAGGAGTAGGTCCTAGGTATTAAAAACAATTAGTTAGTGTTGATTATATATAACTATGATGATGATGAGAAGTTTTTATTATGTGCTACAATGTGTTAGAGTTGATGGTGATGCTAGGGAGGAGGAGTGATTATGAGTACTATGATGATGAGGAGGAGTTGTTATTATAACTAGTGACCAAGTTGTTATATGATGTCGCATGGACGAAAATTATGATGAGGAGGAGTTGTTATATGACAATGATGTATTATGATGATAAGTTGTTATGCTATGATGATGATGATGGTGATGATGATAATGATGATGATGATGATGAGTTATTATGTCATTGGGTGAAAGAACCGCGGATTAGTTTTAAGTGGATGGATCCAACGTGACCAATTGGGTATAGTGGTGTTAGGGCGCATCTATGTCTCACTATAAGCAACACGTAGGTCAGCCTCACCTAGCTAGCCTATGAGCTTTTAAATTGCTCGAGACTCAAAATAAAAATAATATGAAGTAAAAGTAGACGATGTCTCTAAGATTTCCTTAACAATAGCTTTGTATTCTTCACCCGCTCGCTGATGAATATGTTGTACCACTTGCTTGCAGTCCGATGCAACTTGAATGTATTGCATCCCAAAAATGGATGAACTGTTTTTAAATTTGATGTACTTTTTTTCAAAATTGATGAACTTTTTTCAAATTTGATGAACTTATTTTTAAGTCAATGAACTTTTTGCAAAATCGATGAAATCTTTTTCGATTTTTTGGAATTTGTTTTCAAAATAGAAGAACTTTTTAAAAAATCTGTGAACTTTTTCTCGAGATGATGAACTATTTTTCAAATTTGATGAATTTTTTTTAAAAGAGATGAACTCATTTTAATTTCTATGAACCTTTTTTTTCAAATACGTACATATTTTCGGTATTTTTTATAGAATTCTGTTTCGAATTTATACTTTCTTTTTAAAAAAATACACTGGATATATATAATATGTATCAACTAGAGGAAGTGTCAAATAGAGGTTTTTCCTTTTTGTTGTGGACGGAATGATCATGGCCTGGTGGTTACGAGGGACTGTTGTCAAACCTTGCGCTCGGAGTTCGAACCCTGAAATCACTAATTAAGGAGTACTCGTTGCAAAGAACACTCCACTTTCCCAGGTCGCGACAAGTGGCGCACATGCAGCGCGCCACTTGTCGCAACCTGGGAGTTTTCCCTTTTTTCATAGATACGTTTATTCAAAACGTTTTATCTCTTAAACTGTGTGTCTAAATCTCGAACCGTTTTCATCATTGGATTCCTCGCATCGAGATCTTCAAAACTAGATCCCATGTTGATAGGTTTTGACAAACATTATTTTCACGAAAAAAATCGGACAAAAAAAACCGAGCAAAAAAACCAAACCGAGAGCATGGTTTTTTCCCTTTCCGAAAGAGGCACGCCCGTGCCTCTCGCAAAATCACAACCATGCCTCTCGTTGAAGCAAAACCGTGACTCTCGTGTATGGAAAAAAATAGAAAACGCGTTTTTTTCCGTTTCCGAAAGGCACGGCCATGACTCTCGCGAAAGCACAACCGTGCCTTTCGCGAAAGCAAAACCGTGACTCTCGCGAAAGAAAAAAACAGAAAACGCGTATTTTTTCCCTTTCCGAGAGGCACGGCCGTGACTTTCACGTAATCACAACCGTGTTCTCTCGCGGAAGCAAAATCATGACTCTCACGAACGAAAAAAAAAAACAGAAAACGCGTTTTGTTTTTCCCTTTCCGAGAGGCACGGCCGTGACTCTCGCGAAAGCACAACCGTGCCTCTTGGGAAAGCAAAACCGTGACTCTCGTGAAAGAAAAAAAATAGAAAACGTGTTTTTTTATTTCCGAGAGGCATGGCCGTGACTCTCGCTAAAGCACAACCGTGCCTCTCGCAGAAGAAAAACCGTGACTTTCACGAAAGAAAAAAAACGCAGTTTTTCATGAATTTTTTTGATCGAAAAGCTAAGAAAGACCGGGGTCAAACCAAAATGTCGAAAAACCCGGAAAAAAACCCGTTTAAAAAAGCCAAAAACGCATGCGAAAAAATAAAAAAGCAAAATCCGAAGAGAGCGTCCAGAGCGCGACACGTGGCAAATGGCTGAAAGCGCGCCAAGTGACGCTAATCGTTACGAGGCTCCCGAAGGAGCGCTCGTTAACTAGTTGCTCCCGTTCGAACCCCAGCACTCGCGAATCACTATAGGAGATTAAGTGTAGTTTTTGTTTTCTTCTGTATTGAGAACAGATAGTTAGCAATGTTTTAATTGGGCCGCGGCCCGCTCTTGGTCGTTGTAGGCGCCACTTCTCCAACGGGCGCCTACACCGCCGACTAGGAGCTCCCGTATAGGGGGAGCTCCTATATGCCGCCCGTGTGCGTCAGATTGTTGCGACTTTGTTGAAGTGACGCGCACACGGGCCGGCCCAACCATCTCGCTGTGAGTGAAAAAACAAAAAAAGAAGAAGCGCAAGCGTGGGATCAAACTGAGGACCCCATGCTCGAATCCAGTGAGGCAAACCAGCCGAGCTACCTACCTCAAACATCTTGTATGCAGCGCCAATCTTAAAGTAGAACGAACAGGGGCAAATCCTTAAAAAAAAGTTCAACATTTTTATGATATAAGTTGAAGAAATTTTAAAATAAAGTGAATGTTTTTGTAAAAAAATACTGAACAAAATTAAAATACCAACATGGATATTTTATGGGTATATGTTAATTTTTTTAATATATGATGAACAAAACTTAAATACACAATGAACATTTTGTCAATATACGTTGAACAATTTCATAATATACAATAAACATTTTTGTAATACAGAATGAAAATTTTCTAATATATGTTAAACAATTTAATAATATACAATGAACATTTTCTAATATACGTTGAACAAGTTGAAAATATACAATTAACATTATTGTAATACACAATGAACAATTTTACAGAGCAAGGTGAACTATGTCGTAATATACGATGAGCACTTTCTTAAAACATTGGAGATTTTTGTAACACACGGTGAACTTTTTATACAAATACACAATAATGAGAAGAAGAACAGAAACAGAAAATAGAAAAGGAAACATAAAAGAAAGGAAATGAAAGGACAAAAAGGAATCAAAACAGAAAAATAAAAAACCAGAACAAAACAACTGAAAACCGGCCAAAACAGTGAAAATACTGGAAGCAAAAAATCATAGAAGAAAAACGAAAAAAGAACACGAGAAACAAGGAAAAGCGAACGAGATCCGTACGTGGACCGGCCCAAGTGTCGACTTGCCTCAGCGAAGGCTCGTCCTTTTGACGCCTGCGGGCGTCAAATAGGATTTGCCCTAAAAGGCCCCCGTACCCGTATGTACATATATAGCAGCGGAAGGACGGATATACGACTTTTCCGGGCTGGCAGGCTTTTAGCGGACCTATTCGGGCTGCAAAAAAGCGAAAACTTGCAAAATGCGGGGCGGCAAGGTTTTAGCCGATCTGCTAGAGACACCCTAATTTCCAAATGCGGTGATAACTAGAGATTGAACCCCTGAATGTATTTTTTTCCATGGGTGACGTATGTGCATGAACTTTGAGCATGAGCTTTACATGATAATTTGTACAGTACGTATTAGCTCCGTGCAAGAAGGTAGTACTACTACTACTATGTATGTATATCCACTTAATTAAGTACAGTACAAAACTTAGGGAGACGGCCGGGCCGGGGGTTTGTATACAGCTATATATGTTGACCTCCAATCCATGCATCGACGTCTCATCAGATCTCAAACGTCCCCTCTAGCTCGAGCTGCCCACCGGCAGCCTCTTCCTCCTCGTCCGCAACGTAGAGGTACGGGTTCCTCTCCACCGGCTGGAAGTTATAGAAGACGAAGACGTAGAAGGCGAGGCTGGCGAGCTCGACGGAGACGTTGACCACCCACTGGTACTTGTAGCTGAGCACGTCGGCGAAGGCCGAGACGGCGATGCGGGTGAAGTAGAGGTAGCCGACGACGACGAGGTAGAACTGCTTGAAGAGGGTGAGCTTCTTGAGGTTCCTGGCCGCCTTGCCGTCCGTCTTGGAGGCCTCCCGCAGGTTGCGGATGGACCAGATGATGGGGAAGAAGACCGCGCAGCAGCAGACCACGTCCACCAGCAGGAAGATCTGGTTCCACGCCAGCCAGTCCCGCCCCGCCGGCCCCGTCTCCCCGATCATCGCCGACGCGATGTTCTCGATCACTTGCAGCGGGATGATGATCATCAGCACGTTCTTCTCCCGCTCCTGCATTCTCGATCCATCCCACCATCGTTGTGAATACATGCATGGCCCCTCATGTGTTGGTCGTTACATGCACTGCACGTACGTAATGTACAGACCTGGAGGTATGGCTTCAGGAAGGACCAGCCGGTGCCGATGAGCACGATGACCGTGAAGAGGAGGATGCCCTTGAAGAAGCCGAAGACATAGAAGGCGACGTCCCAGCCGTGCGGCGTGCCAGTGCGCCCCACGTACCACGCGTCCTCGGCGGCGCACGCCAGCTTCAGGGCCTTGAACAGCAGCAGCGCCCCCATCACAGCGTGGATCCGCTCGACCGTGGCCCGCTGCTTGATGCAGACGAACACCCACGCCGCCAGGAACGCGAAGTACAACGCGGACGAGGCGGCGAAGATCCCCGGAAGCGGGAGCAGGCCGACGGGCAGGTACTCCCTGTCGCCGCCGGGGCCGGGCATGTTGTACATCTCCGTGCGCACGTCCATGGTGATCTCGACGCCGTCCTGGCAGCTGCTGAACAGCACCGTGTACTGGTCGGCGTCACCGATGGTCACGTTACCCCCGCCGGCGCCGTCACGCCCGATGTCCTTGAGCCGGAAGAGCGGCATCACGTACTCGCTGGTGAGCGGGCAGAAGGAGCTGCCGGTCTCCTCGGCGTACTCGGACTCGTTGGTGATCTTGAAGAAGAGGGTGTTGGAGATGAGGATGAAGCCCATGAGCCCCGGGTCGACGGCCTGGGGCGGGGAGCCCTCGGGGACGCTCCATGAGACGCCGGACACGTTGACCTGCGCGACGCCGCCGGGCTTGAAGCCGAACTCCTCGAACAGGATGACGGGCCGCGAGTCCGACACGATCGGCGTCGTCTTGATCTCGCCGCGGGCCGCATGGAGGAGCTGGAGGGCGAGGACGGCGGCGAGTAATGCGGAGGCGGCCATGGAGGATCGAGCTAGGACGCTACCAAGGTCGGGTTCGTGTCACGTCATTCGTGGAGGCGGAGAGGGTGGGAAGAGGCTCCGGCCGCGTCGATTCGCGTGGCGTGTTTTCGGGGTGGCCACGAGACCCGCATGAGTCAAACAAACCTCCAACAGGCCAGAACCAACAGCGTTTCCGCTATTTTTGCCCAGTGAGAGAGGGCAGAGGGGGAATTCCCTATTCGACGCTCTCTGCGTCAAAGTGTCGACCAAACGCACAGGTGCGCAATTGATTGGGCCGGCCCATCTAGAAATGCACGTATAGCTGGCAGTTCCGGTTTTGGGAACCTTCCAGAAGATTCCTAGCCGGTTTTCTCGGATCTGGGATCCTTCTACAAGGTTCCTAAACTGGCTTCTTTTCCTTCTTTTTTTCTGATTCCTTTTTTCTTTTTTCTTTTTCTTTTTTCTGTTTCCTTTTTCTTTTCCTTTTTATCTGTTTCTTTTAATTGTATATTTTCAAAATTGTTCCAAATATTCGAAAACAAATTGTTACCAATTTTCTTTCAGTATTTTAAAAACATTTTGAAGTTTAAAAATTGTTCGTCTTATACAATTGTTTCTTTTTATTTTAGAAAAATGTTTTGATTTTCCAAAAACAATCATGTATACAAAAAATCTTTGGGATTTTCAAATTGTATCAGATTAAAAAAAATCTGCATTTGAAAATATGTACCAATTTTCAAATTTAATCACCAATTTATAAAATGCTTGCATTTTCAAAAAAATGTTATGGAATTGTTTTTTGTGTGTAATGCAATTTTTTAAAGTTATCGAAAAATGTTTCCATTTCCAATATTTTGTTCACATATACAAAAAAGGTTCGGGATTTTAAAATTATTCTCGGGTTCAAAAATTTTTCTTCATTTCAAAAGTTTACCTGCTTTCAAAATATGGTCACCATTTTAAAAATGTTTGTGTTTTCAAAAATGTTCTGGAATTTGAAAATTTGCTCGCATTTTACAAAAAATGTTTCCATTTTCAAAAAAAATTCACGTGCACAAAAAATCTTCAGAATTTTAAAATTGTTCTCATGTTCAAAAAAAAATTCTGCATTTCAAAAGTTGTACCTGTTTTCAAAATATGTTCACCAATTTAAAAATGTTTGTGTTTTCCAAAATTGTTCTGAAATTTGAAAATTTGTTCACGTTTTACAAAAAAGGTTTCCATTTAATTTTTTGTTCACGTACGGGAAAATTATTCAGGATTTTCAAGTTGATCTAAAATTCAAAATTTTGTTCTGTAATTTCAAAAAAGTGTTTGCAGTTTTTAAGTAATGCTCAATTTATGCCGGTATTTTTAGTTCATTTGACTTCGAGCCGAATATTTGCCATGAAGGCTTGATCGGTGTGGTGGCTAGCTAGATGCGTACACATACGGGAGGTCTATAGTTCAAATTCTAGCTCAGGCACAATTTTCTTTGTACGAATTTTTGCTCGCGCGACTTCAATCCTAACGGGCCGGCCCAGTCGCGCGAATCCTCTGCGAAAGGATGACAGGAAAGGATAAAGGCTATTTCCGTGGGCCTGTTAAACTGATGGCCCGGACTGGATTTTGGGTATAACTCTCATTTGTTAATATCTATGCTTTGGGCCCCTTTTTTTTTCTCTCTTCCTGACTTTTAACCGCCCGACCAAGAGCGGGGTTCCTATACGGGGCAGATCCTATTTGACGCCCGCAGGCGTCAAAAGGATGTGGCTCCGCTGAAGCCTGGCCACCCGACGCCCCAGTTTCGGCCGGCCCACGGTCGGCTGCTTTTTCTTTCTTTTTCTGTTTCTTTCATTTTTGTTTTTCTGTTTCTATTTCTTTCCCGTGTTTTGTTTCTTTCTTTTTGCATATTATACACATTTCGTTGCATATTATGTACAAACATGTTCATCGTATATTTAAGAAAATGTTCGTTATGTATTTTGAAATTATTCAACATATATTCACAAAAATGTTCAATGAGTATTTAAATATTGTTCAGCGTATATCACCAAAATGTTCAATGTGTATTTAAATATTTGTTCAGCATACATTAAAAATGTTCAGTGTGTATTTAAAAATTATTCAACATATGTCAAAAAACGTTCAATGTATATTTAAAAAGTGTTCATCATTTGAAATGTCAATTTTTTGTTCATGTTTTCAATAAATGTTCGTTTTTAAAAGTTTGATAAAATTTCTAAAAAAATCAATATTTCAAACGTTATGAAAAAAAATAAGAAAAATGTTCATTTTCCCCAAGAAATGTTGAAAAGTTTGAAAAAAGAAACGGACCTGCTATTGTATATGGTAGTTTAATTGATCAGGCGATATATATTGGTTCTTAAAGTTGGGCGCTGAAAATCTAGCAGTAGTACGTGTCGGTTTTATTGGTTTGGACTAGCTATACACTAGTCAGAGATAACGAGATCGAGCTCTCTTTGTGGCGCAACAGTTTTCTGGTGATATTTTTTTACGTGCCTGGATTTCGCTAGGTCCAACTGGGCCGGCCCGTTCGCGGTTCTGTTCAGCGAAGGGTCGACAGCTTGACGCTCGCGGGCGTCATACAGGAGCTCCCCCTTTTAGGTTAGCAATCCGGATAAGCTTCACTACAAAAATACTTCTCCATGGGTAGGTTTAAAGAGCTCCCACATGTTGGGGAACGTAGCAGAAATTTAAAAAAATTCTACGCATCACCAAGATCAATCCATGGAGTCATCTAGCAACGAGGGGAAGAGGAGTGCATCTACATACCCTTGTAGATCGCGAGCGAAAGCGTTGAAGAGAACGGGGTTGATGGAGTCGTACTCGTCGTGATCCGAATCACCGATGACCGAGCGCCGAACGGACGGCATCTCCGCGTTCAACACACGTACGGTTGGGAGAGACGTCTCCTCCTTCTTGATCCAGCAAGGGGAGAGGAGAGGTTGATGGAGATCTAGCAGCACGACGGCGTGGTGGTGGAAGCAGCGGGATCTCGGCAGGGCTTCGCCAAGCACCAACGAGAGGGAGAGGTGTCACGGAGGGAGAGGGAGGCGCCAGGGACTTGGGTGCGGCTGCCCTCCCTCCCCTCCACTATATATAGGGGCTAGGGGGTGCCGGCCCCTCTAGATCCCATCTAGATGGAGGGGCGGCAGCCAAGGGGTGGCTTGGCCCCCAAGCCAAGTGGAGGCGCCCCCCACCCCTAGGGTTTCTAACCCTAGGCGCAGGGGGAGGCCCAAGGGGGGTGCACCAGCCCGCCAGGGGTTGGTTCCCTTCCCACATTCAGCCCATGGGGCCCTCCGGGATAGGTGGCCCCACCCGGTGGACCCCCGGGGCCCTTTTGGTGGTCCCGGTACAATATTGGTGACCCCCGAAACCTTCCTGGTGGCCGAAAATGGTCTTCCTATATATAAATCTTTACCTCCGAACCATTCCGGAACTCCTCGTGATGTCTGGGATCTCATTCAGAACTCCGAACAACTTTTGGGTTACCGCATACTAACATCTCTACAACCCTAGCGTCACCGAACCTTAAGTGTGTAGACCCTACGGGTTCGGGAACCATGCAGACATGACCGAGACAACTCTCCGGCCAATAAGCAACAGCGGGATCTGGATACCCATGTTGGCTCCCACATATTCCATGATGATCTCATCGGATGAACCAGGATGTCGAGGATTTAATCAATCCCGTATTCAATTCCCTTTGTCAATCGGTATGTTGCTTGCCCGAGATTCGATCATCGGTATCCCAATACCTTGTTCAATCTCGTTACCGGCAAGTCACTTTACTAGTTCTGTAACACATCATCCTGTGACCAACTACTTAGTCACACTGAGCTCATTATGATGATGCATTACCGAGTGGGCCCAGAGATACCTCTCCGTCATACGGAGTGACAAATCCCAGTCTCGATTCATGCCAATCCAACAGACACTTTCGGAGATACCTGTAGTGTACCTTTATAGCCACCCAGTTACGTTGTGACGTTTGGCACACCCAAAGCACTCCTACGGTATCCGGGAGTTGCACAATCTCATGGTCTAAGGAAATGATACTTGACACTTAGAAAAGCTCTAGCAGACGAACTACACGATCTTGTGCTATGCTTAGGATTGGGTCTTGTCCATCACATCATTCTCCTAATGATGTGATCCCGTTATCAATGACATCCAATGTCCATGGTCAGGAAACCGTAACCATCTATTGATCAACCAGCTAGTCAACTAGAGGCTTACTAGGGACATGTTGTGGTCTATATATTCACACATGTATTACGATTTCCGGATAACACAATTATAGCATGAACAATAGACAATTATCATGAACAAGGAAATATAATAATAACCATTTTATTATTGCCTCTAGGGCATATTTCCAACAGTCTCCCACTTGCACTAGAGTCAATAATCTAGTTACATTGTGATGAATCGAACACCCATAGAGTTCTGGTGTTGATCATGTTTTGCTCGAGGGAGAGGTTTAGTCAATGGATCTGCAACATTCAGGTCCGTATGCACTTTACAAATATCTATGTCTCCATTTTGAACATTTTCATGAATGGAGTTGAAGCGACGCTTGATATGCCTGGTCTTCTTGTGAAACCTGGGCTCCTTGGCAAGGGCAATAGCTCCAGTGTTGTCACAGAAGAGACTCATCGGGCCCGACGCATTGGGAATAACTCCTAGGTCGGTAATGAACTCCTTCACCCAGATTGCTTCTTGTGTTGCCTTCGAGGCTGCCATGTACTCCGCTTCACATGTAGATCCCGCCACGATGCTTTGCTTGCAACTGCACCAGCTGACTGCCCCTCCATTCAAAATATATACGTATCCGGTTTGTGACTTGGAGTCATCCAGATTTGTGTCGAAGCTAGCATCGACGTAACCCTTTACGACGAGCTCTTCGTCACCTCCATAAACGAGAAACATATCCTTAGTCCTTTTCAGGTACTTCAGGATATTCTTGACCGTTGTCCAGTGTTCCATGCCGGGATTACTTTGGTACCTTCCTACCA